CAGCGGCGGTGGCGGCGGCGGCAGCGGCGGTGACGGCCACGATATGCAAGCCCCCGGCAGCAGTGCTGGAGGTATGCACGTGATGACGCACGGCAGCGGCGGCAATGGCAATGTCAACGGCGCCGCAGCAAGCGCGGGCGGCATGCCGTACACCCCCGTCGCCGACATGCTGTCCACCCCCTTGTTGGCGTCTCTGGACGAGTACCTAATCGGCACACCTCTGCCCCACCTATCCTTGGACGGCCATCCACCGACAGCGGCGGCAGCGGCGGCGGCGGCGGCGGCGGCGGTGGCGGCGCCGAGTCCTCCTCCAATAGCTGCCAGGCGACCGCAGGTAGCTTTGCCGCCAGGCAACGCCGACGCGCTCCTCCATCAACCCGCTGCCGGCAGGCATGTACAGCATGTCGAGGCGTCCGCTGACGTCAACGCAGCTGCCGTACGGCGAATTGAACCTAGCGGCGACGGCGGGATCGGCGCTGCAGCCAACACCACAGCTCGCGACATGGCGCTTGCCGAATGTGGCAGGGAAGCTGCTGCTGCTGCTGCTGCTGCTGCTTCTGCTTACGGCGCCGCTGTCGGTAGCGGTGGCGCCGATGGGGCCGGCGGCGCCGGTGCAGGTGCCAACAGCGGCAGCGGCGGATGCAGCGACGGCGGCGGCGACGGCGGCGGGGCAACTGGTAGCTACAGTCCATTGACGGACCTGCTGACGATGTACGACCTGAACCCCACCGCACATGCGGCGCTTCAGGCGCTTATGAATATGAACATCGACCCGGCAGTAGCATCAGCTATGCTGGAGGAGCTCTCCACTCTGACCCCCGAGATAGCTTCCCAGTCCGTTGACGGCGGCGGCGGCGGCGGCGGCGGCGGGAACGGCGGGAACGGCGACGGAGGCGGCGGTGGCGCCACCACGGGCCCCATGGACTGCGGGAGTGGGCCCCACGCGACCGCAAGCACCGGTCCAGGGGCCGATTGCAGCGGCAGCGGTGAGGGCGGCGTTGGGTCTCCTGGTACGGCACTCGTACGGCTGCGTGCGCAGAGCGACGTTGGAAGCACCATGCAGCCTAAGTCCCCGCCGGATGGACGCACTGGTTTGCCACCGCAGCTGCAACAACAGCAACAACAACAGCAGCTACCGCCGCTGCCGCTGCCGCTGCCACCGCCGCCGCCGCAGCAGCAGCAGCAGCAGCAGTTGCCGCGCTATATGGACTTGCACCTAGCTGCTCCTGGTAGTGGTGACAGTTGCGGTGGTAGTGGTGGTGATGGTGGTGGTGCTGCTGTGGCCCGAGCCCCTAGACAGTTGCCACAGCCTATAACGGGCCATTCTGGTCGATACCCCTCGGAGGTTCAGGAGCGAGGCTTTCAAGGACCCTTCAGGGGAAATGCGTCGGATGCGACGGCGGCGGC